GATATCAGTTTCCAGTGTTTAGTGGTAGGGTCGCAACTCTTTCCCTCAATATCCACCTAGTTTAGTTTTCATTTGAGGACGAATTTTCCCAAGTGGGAGATATTGTTACACCTCGAATCTCAAAACGAAGAAAAATCCTAGTTTTTCAGAAAACTGCTTCCAGTATCGACGGAACCACCCACGGACCATAGGTGGGACCACGGACCGTAGGTGGGTTTCCGTAGTCAAGGACCAAATCTTTATAGTCTCTGATCCCACCCACGATCGACCAGTACAGTCTGTGGTTGGACCTATGGACCGTAGGTCTGACCGTAGGTAAGGGTCAACAGCCAGTTAGAGGGAAATTGTTGTTGGGTCAACTTCAAATGGTCATCCCTCTTATCACAAAAGGAATTAGGTGTCCCATGACCCACCTAATGATAGATAATTGAATCCTCTTTCTAACGCCATCGAGTTTGCTAAAATTCTATCTTCGAGTAAAACGTTATCCTCGTTTTAGTGAATCCCTATATGGAAAACTTGACCGACGAACCCTACCTACGGTTGGTAGATCAACCCACGGACCATAGGTCCCTCCGTTGGTGGCCATAGACAGAATTAAGTTAGGGATGTTTTGGTCCTTTTCCCTATACGTTGGGCACCTAAACTATGTCGTTTAACCCCTATATTACGTGGTTATGGTAAGTTTTAGCCTAGAAACTAAATTAGAGCTTACCCTAATCAATTATTCTTCAAAATCAAGTGAAACTTGAGCAAAAAGAGAATAAGCAGTGGACCAAGCCCTCTCCAAGAATGCAACAAGCTTTTTTCAGTTTCCAGCCCCGAAATCGAAAGATTTCTCTGTGAATTTCATCACTAGGTATGTGGGATTTCACTAGTGGGTTCCTTCACCCATTAGGTCCTTAGAATTCAGTCAGATTCTTGATTCCCTTCATATTATCTAGACCTAGGGGTTTCTCGAATTTTAGCAGATTATTATTAATTAGTCACTTTAATGTCCCTAATCAAATTATCATGATTTTAGTATCGTTTTGTGTAAATTATTTCATAAATTCAAAACCCTAGCTATGTAGTTCATTTAGTTCATGAATTACACATGCTAGGTCAAATATTTCATATATACATGCCTCAGATTTGAATGTTTCATTATCAGCATATTAATGTTGTATTTTCAGTTAGCATGTTAGCTTTGAGCTATCTAGTATTACAGAAATTCAGTCATAAATTGTAAATTACATAATCAATTGGGAGAAGCTTAATACCGAGGGGACTAGGGTCAGTCACCCTCAAGTCCCAGAACTATGTGCCCCATAGGTTGTAAGTCCCCTCTGTGGGCATCATTTTACTGATCACGCCAATCATGCCTATATACCTCTGTCAGGGTATATTGGGTCCTCTCGATGGGGCTTATACATCGGACTCCATATTTAGCTCATATGGTTTTATGTCGGTTAATAGTAGCTCCCACAGTTCAGTCAGACTCTATTGTATTGACCAGGTTATCAGTTACAGTTAGATTTCAGTTTTAGTATGTTATAAATTTGGTCATTGCATTCAGTTAGTCCATGTTCAGTACTTTCAGTATAGTATCATGTTTATCTCATATCATTGCTCAGTTATATGCTTTGTTTAGTTATGTATATTGTTCAACTTTACTCTATCATCATGCTCAGTACCTTTCAAGTACTGACGCATACTCTGTGCTACATCTTCTAGTGATGTAGGTTCAGGTTCTCAGCTTCCAGATCACGTAAAGATTGGTTCCCGATCTTCAGTTCAGCAACATCATCGGTGAGTCCTCATTATTCGAGGACGAGTGACATGATTATCTTTCTTTGCTTTTTTTTAGTTTTAGTTTTGCTAGATTTAGCTGGGGCATGTCCCAGCACTTTTATTTAGTTAGAGGCTCTTTTCAGACATAGTTAGTTTCAGCTTTAGTGTTTGAGTCTGACTTTTCAGATAGTATATGGGTATTCTCCATCATTTCATTTTACATGGTGATTTAGCTTCCGCACAGTACTTTCCTAATTCAGTTTATTTGGTATGCTTATGATATGCCAGCATGGTTAGCTTGGGGTCACTCGTGATCCTAGGTCCGGTGTCCTCGTCCTGGGGGTAGCTTCGGGTTGTGACATACATTGTCAATTATCAGCTACAACACAATCAAACAATAAGGAATTAAAAATGTAAAGAAGAACTCTCGGGATGTGATCGATTATAGGAAAATTTCACCATATGGGTAATGGAAACTACTAATGAATAGCTAAATATCAGTGGGTAGGCTGGACTATCAATGAAATAGTTTTTTGTTGAACAAATATCACGTTTCAAGCAATTTCTCTCGAACATCGACAATCTTAACAAGATAAACAACCCGCAACCTTAATACATCCACTCTCTAGAGCTAAATGGGTAGGATTGGGTTTAGAATTTACTCTCTCAAGCTGAACCCATATCAACCCAATACCTACAAACCATTAATCAAAAGCTTTGGTTCCAAAACCTCTCTCTCAAGCAAGCCAAGAACTCAAAATTAGAATTGCATTGCAACTACAATCCATAGATTAAAACACAGCTAATGATTAAACCCATTTCAATCAAGCATTTAAATCAGTAATTAACAATACCCATAAGCTAATTCAGCCCATAATCACATGATCACACCCCAAGAATTGAGGTTTTAGCTAAACATCATAAAAAGGTAAAAACGATTACCAACTCGATTAGCCATCTGCTGGGTAAGAGTTTCCAAGCCTTTACAATATTCGAAAATGGTTAAATTCAAAAACCCACTTTTTTTTAATGACCCTTGGGTGGGTCAGGGGCTTAGCAACACCCCCAGGCCTTACCATAAATAAAATAAAAATAAGTACAAGGAGGGGGACATAAAACCTTACCTCCGGTCCTATGTTGGTTCAAGGGTCGAACTTCCTACTAAGGAGATTCAACTCATCCCCATACTATAAAAGGAAACCTAGTTCTAAGCACCTAAGGAGAGGACTCCTCTTAATACAAGGATACTAGGAAAATATAAATAAGGGAGACTCTCCCCTTACAAAGGAAAGAGAAAAATCCTATTCAAAAAAACTATACCTACTTCTAGACATAGTCAAGTTGAAAAGGGAGGGAAACACCTTAATCAAGGTGGTTTTTTTAATTCTTTTCAGCTTTTACCTCCTGAAGTTGGTCATTCCCATCTTTTCCAGAAGGAAACTTCCTTTAGCTGTTGCAGGTAGCTGGTTCTGAGTGTAGAAGTGCTGAGTGATGTCTAATCTGTGACTCTCCTTGGACAGAAAATCTGCTGTTGTATTGGCTTCTCTGTAGGTATGCTGGCATTTGAAGAAATCCAGCTGAGTAATAATCTGGTGAAGTTGAGTGATGTACTTCTGCAATTTCCAGGGTGGCTTGCTTTTGTGATTGAGCCATTTGGTAAGTAGTTCTGAGTCCACTTCCAAGATGACTTTCCTGTAACCATGTTGAACGCACCAGTCCAATCCGTGAGTTGCGGCTTGTGTTTCAGCTTGGTTATTGGTGCCAATACCAAGGGGGATTGCGAATGCATATATCATGTTTCCATTGGAGTCCCTCAATATACCCCCTCCTCCTATCTTCCCGGGGTTATGCAATGCGTTTCCATCTGTATTAAGCTTTAAAATGGGGCTGGAAGGGCTTTGCCAACTGATCGTGATGATCCTGATATCCTGGGAGCATTTCTCAACTTCATTGATCATATCCTCCCAATTATTAGGCCAAGAACAATAGGGATAAGTGACCATGAGAAGCTGGAAAGTGTCTTTAAAAATCATGTACTTCACTCTTGCCACATTAAATTTTTTCTGGCCATATTTCACCGAGCATCTGTTCTTCCAGAGATTCCAGCAAATTAATATGGGAAGGGTCTGAATAATGAGTTTGTGGACCTCATTTTTTGCAGCCATTCCCCACCAACTCATCAGGAGATTTTTTAGTGGCCTGGGGTTGTGAATAATTCCCAACAGCCCTGAGAAATACCTCTAGATATGAGCTGCAAAATTGCCTGTAACAAAAATGTGTTCAATATCATCCAATCCTGGTCTAATGCAGCAGAAACATGTTGCTGGCTGCACTCCAAAAGTGCTCAACTTATCATTGGTAGGAAGTTTGAATTTGAAAGCCTTCCACAATAGAAAGGAAGCTTTGAATGGAACTTGTTTATGCCAAATAGTAGAGAATAGTCTACTCTTGTTCTTCTTGCCCCTCACTAGGTTCCAAGCAGATGAACAGGTGAAAGCCCCATTTTCATTTTGCTTCCAATATGCTTCATCAGTAACTCCTGCTTGGTAGTGAATAACAGTGCTAAGCACTTTGGGAACTAGCAAAGGTGGGACATGCATTCTCACCAAAGTTTCATTCCACTGTCCATGTCTTAAAAAATAAGAAACTTGAGTATTATTCAAGCTAGTTATGCCATGACAAAGGTGAGCTAGAGGTCCTTCCCCCATCCAATTATCCCACCAGAAAAGGGCATTTCCAGAATTTATTCTCCAGCCTATTTCAGTTTCCACCATCTCCCTGTTCCTCAACATGTATTTCCACACCAAAGAATCTCCTGTAACCCCTTTCTTAGCTACTGGGTTAGACCTCTGGCAGTACTTGGCTTTTAGAAATTGACCCCATAAAGAGTGTTTGGTCCTGAAGTTCCACCACTGTTTAATTTGGAGAGAAGTGCAAACGTTGTTAAGATGCCTCACACCAATACCACCCTCTTCATAAGGGAAACTAAGAGATTCCCAAGATGCCCAATGGTATTTTTTCTTGTCTCTTTCCATTCCCAAAAAGAAGTCTGATGTCACTCTTTTGATATATTGCAAGGTAGTTCTGGGAGGGGAAATAGTTGCCATAGTATGAATAGGTATTGATTGAAGTACATGTTTAACCAATGTAGCTTTCCCACCAAAACTTAGGATTCGAGAGTGCCAGCCACTGATCTTTTTGACAACCTTTGCCACCAAATCTGAGTACTAAATAATCCTTTGTCCTCCTATGTAAAGGGGACAGCCAAGGTAATTTATAGGACTTTCTCTTTGATTGAAGCCAGTGATTTCCTGAATCATATCAATAATGTGAGAAGGTGTATCTTTAGGAACCATGAAGTGACTTTTTCCTTTGTTGATGAGTTGGTCTGAGGTATCTTCATAGGTTGACAGTGTTTCCATAATGAGCTTCAGAGACTCTTCTCTTCCTGAAGTAAAAATGATAACATCATCAGCGAAGCTTAAGTGATTGATCTGAGGCCCTCTAAAGTCTATTTGGAACCCATGGAAGTGTTGATTGTCATATAGGTTATTAAGCATTCTAGACAACACCTCAGCCCCTAAAATAAATAGGGATGGGGAGAGAGGATCCCCCTGCTTGAGGCCTCTTGTAGAATGGAAAAAACCATGTCTTGTCCCATTGACTATGATTGAGTACCAATTATTACTCATAATTTTCCACACTATGTCAATGAAAAATTCTCCAAATCCCATGTGTCTTAAAACCAGACTAGTAAAGGCCCATGACACTCTGTCATATGCCTTTGTCATGTCCAACTTAATCACCACATTATCCCCTTCCTTAGGTTTTTTGATGCCATGTATAATCTCCTGTGCCAGCATGACACTCTCTGAAATACTCCTTCCTATAACAAAACCAGACTGGTTGTTGGAGATAATATTAGGCAGCATAGGAGCAAGTCTGAGGCATAAAATTTTGGAAATGATTTTGTTGGTAAAGTTGCTCAAACTTATGGGTATGAATTCTGAAAATTTATTAGGATGATCTACTTTTGGGAGTAGAACAAAACTTGCATGTGAAATGAACTTGGGCATGAAGGAACCACAGAAGAAGGCATGCACAGCATTCAGAATATCTTCTTTGATGATGCCCTAGCAACTCTGAAAAAACTTCCCACCAAACCCATCCGGACCAGGAGCTGAATTAGGATTCATAGAAAAGACCACCTGCTGCAATTCTTCACTAGTAGGAATTGCTTGGAGAGTCGTATTTTGCTCAAGAGTGACCATTCTTGGGATATGTTGTAATATATCCTCATTGATGGGCTGTTCAGTTCCAGTAAATATGTTCTTAAAGTGATCACAGGCTGCCTTGGCTATGTTCTCATACCCCTCCACCCATTCTTCATTTCCTATACAGACCTTGTGGATAAAAAGTTTCCTTCTTCGACCTCTCATAATGGCATGAAAGTACTTGGAGTTGGTGTCACCATCTTTAAACCACTGCAATTGAGTCTTCTGTTTAAGGATAGAATCTTCCAACTTCAAGTATTTGATGTACCTGGCATTAATCATGTGTAAGTTTGCTCTATTTTCAGTAGAATTATTAACAATCAGTGCTTCCTCAGCCACTCTAACTCTCTCCTCATGATCTCGAACAATGCTGAAAATGTCTCCATAAGTTGTTTTGGACCAATTACTAGGAGTAGCAGTCAACCTCTTCATCTTCTGTTGTAATCTCCACATAGGATTACCTTCCACTTCCCTGTCCCAGCAGGCTTTAACCACATTATTAAACTCCTCATGTTTAGTCCAGCAGTGCAAGAACTTGAAATATTTGATAGGTTGCTTCACTTTATCTACAATCTCCATCAATAAGGGACAATGATCAGAACCCACTGAATGGAGATGGGTAATAGTAGTTTGAGGGATTCCTTGTAACCAGTTGTCATTGACCATAGCTCTATCAAGCCTCTTCCACACTCTAGCCTCTTCATTCCTGTGATTGCACCACGTATATGTCTGACCCGTGTACCCAAGATCCATTAATCCACAAGCTTCAATAGTTGCAATGAATTCAAAAACTTTTATTCATATTGTAGGGGATGCCACCTTGTTTCTCATCTGGTGTAGTAATGACATTAAAGTCACCAATAGTGCACCAAGGGATATTCATATTAGAAAATGAATAAGTCTATCCCACAATTGTCTCCTCAAGTAGTCCTTGCATTTGGCATACACAATCGTGATAAAAAAACTTATCTTTGATTTCCACATGTTGCATAGTTCCTGTGATGTGTTGATCCTCAGATTCCAAAATATTAAGATTTATTTCAGCAGTCCAGAATAACCAAATCTTCCCATTAGAATTGCAACAGGCATTTTCCACGTTCAATTTGATTCTATAACTGTTGAGGTGAGAGTTGTCAGCAAAGGGTTCAAGAATAGCAATAATTGACAGATTGTGAAGTTTCTTGAGAGTTTGTATTCTTTCCAGAGAACCAAGAGTATTAATACTCCTTGCATTCCAACAGAGTGTTTTAATCATTAAAAACCTCTGCTTTTCGACCTAGTGTTGGGTCTGCTAGTCTGAGCTGATGTACTTTTGGAAGTTTGTCTGTAATTTTGTTTATCTTGTTTCCTTCCCCTTGGAGATAACCCCTGCTGTTCAGCTACCTCTTGTATGTCCTTTTGAAATTCACTCTGAAATGTAGACCCAAAGGTTTTGATAAGGTGAGCACTGACTTCTTCCCCATCCTTATCCTCTTCTTCACCTTCAATGGACTGAGTGTCTTCATCATATTCATCATCTGAGTGTACCATATCATACTCACCCTTGTGTTTTTGCTGAATCTGTTCATTCTGCTCCTGTGCTTTCTTCTTATTGGTGTCTTATATTGCAGCCTCTTTTTGTATTTTCTTCTTAATGGTATCCCTTTTCTTTTTACTCAATCTTCCTTGGGATTTATTATTTGTCTTCAAGCTGAGGTCTCTTTCTTTCCCTTGTTTATCAGTTGCTATATTGTCCTGTGTCCTCCCCTTATTCTGAATATTGATAGGAGTTTTCTCTCTAGTTTCTTCTTCTGTAGTGTTATATTCCTATGTGCCCTCAATACCTGTTGTTCCCTTCTTCTTCTGAGTCTGGATATTGGTTTCAGTCCCAGCACCCTGACCTTTCTGCTGTTTGTATTCTTTTGGAGCCCTTACCTGGTCCACTGTACTGTCAACCTGATTATGGCCACCTTGACCAGTATCCTGAGCCAGAGCAGCTTTCTGTATTTCCTGCACCTGATGGACTGTTTTGGCATAGTTTTGAGTAGTGGTTGCAGAGGCTCTAAGGTCACTATTAAGGTCATTGTGAGCCCCCTCAAATAGAACATGAGTCAAATTCCCCCCTTTGGTTGCCCCTTCCTGCAAGTTAGTAGTTTTCTCCTGACACCCTCCATCCATCCCTCCATTGGGGGAATGGGGTAATGGGAGAGATAAGTCAATACCTGAAGTTTTGTTATAACAATTATCTGTGACATGATCTTTTAGCACATTTGTTGTAGTATGATTAGATTCATCATCTCTTGACCCTTCAATTGTTTGCACTTCATGATCTGATTTTCCTTTATTGGTGTTGTCCCCAGCAATACCTTTGTTTGGTTGTTCCTGCATTACTAAATCAATATAATTATTATGGATAGGGATGTTAGATAGTATACCTGCTGTGGAAGGTGCCTGCTGCATGTTGTTCTTGGTTGCCTTATATTGTGGTGATACAGGTCTCCATGCTGTTTTGGGAAGTGTTTGCTCTTGGTTTTTTGTTTGTTTCCTCTTCTGAACTTGCCATTGCTCTTCCTGATCTATAACTGCCTGCTCATGATGGGTCTGTAGTCCCTTCTTGATTTCCTGTTGTTGGTTTGTATGTTGCTGCTGTACTTGATTTTGCCGTTGGACCTCACCATCTCTGTAATCCTTTTCTTGAACTATGTGTTGATGGCCTTGTTGCCTGGTACCTGTTTCTGTTATACCATTGCCTTGTTCACTCTTCATTTTGTTTTGTTTTTCAGTTTCCATTTCTTACCATTGCAAATCTTCAAGTTGGAGCCTCAAAAGCTTCATAGTCTACAATGAAACTCTAAAACTAAAAGAAAACTCTACTAAATGATCACATGATAATAAATCTTGAGTTCAAATTTTGATTTACAGTTGCCCAATTTTTGGCCTGAAAAGTCATTGGGCGAGATAAGTTAGGCTCGCTAAACAGGTCGGCGATCCGCTGTTTGCTCCAATCCATCGCCGGTTCGCATTGGTCAGTTGTCCTCAAGGTTCTATGACTTTAGGCGATCAAGGTTGCCATCACGGAGTGGATCGGCGATTTGCTGAATGCCCTTTTCTGTTGCCAACTTTGTTTTTCTCCCCAGGGCTGGCATGTTGGAACTTTGGGCGGGCTAAAGAGTCACTCGATGGTTCGCCGAGTGGTCTTGGCGATCACCAGGATCGCTTTTCTTCAACTTTTCAATTTGTTTTGCTCCTTTTTTTCTGGTAGTGTCCATGCCTTACTCCTTAGCTTGCATACCTGAAAATCAATGCTTTAACATAGGTTTGTAGCATAAATTAGCCATTTGAGGACACTAAAACTATCAAAACAAAGCCTTAAATTAATCCAAATCTCGGACTCATCAGACCACGGTCCTTGGTCCAGGGCCGTGGTTCAGACCCCCAGCCTTCAGCTCCCAGACGCTAAATGACAAGATGACAGGACGGATTGTAGGCCCATCCACGGTCCGTCGGTTAGGCTAGTTGTTTGGCCCGACAGCCCTTAAGTTAAGGTCGTTTTGGTCTTTTCCCCTACGTGTTGGACACCTAAATTACGTCGTTTAACCCCTAAACTATGTAGTTTTGGTCAGTTTAAGCCTAGTAACTTAAGCAGATCCTTCCCTAATGGATTCATTCTCCAAAATTTGCCAAACTAGACCAAAAAGAGAAGAAACAGTCGACCAAGCCCTCTCCAAGAACGCAACAAGTTTTCTTCAGTTCCAGTCCCTAAATCAAAAGATTTCTTCGTGAAATTTGTCACCAGGTATGTGGGATTTCACTGGTGGATTCCTATCATCCACTAGGTCCCTAGAATTCAGTCAGATTTTTTATTCTCTTTATCTTGTTTAGACCTAGGGTTTTTAAAACCATGGATAATTGTTGCGATTTAGTTGTTGTAGTATTTGTAATTGAATTATCATGTTTTCTTGGAAAGTTTGCTTAGTTCCTTGCATGAAACTGAGATCCCTAGTTGTGTAGATTCTCTTAGTTCATGAATTACACATGCTAGGTTAGTTAAATAGAAAATCATGCTCCAGTTTTTTAATGTTACATTGCCAGTTCCTAAATGTTGCATTCTCATATTTGAATGTCAGAACATTGAGCTATCCAGTATTTCAGTTATGTTGTGTCATACACATATTAAGTTGGGAGTAAACTTAACACCGAGTTGGACTATGGTTTAGTGTACCCATATTGTCCCAGAACTATGTGCCCCCGTAGAAGTATAAGTCCCTCAGTAGGCATCAGATTTAGTGATCACGCCAGTCATGCCTTTATACCCATGGCAAGGTATATTGGGTCCTCTCAATGGGGTGTATACATCAGATTCCACGTTAGCTCACGTGGTTTTATGTCGGTTATTAGTGGCTCCCACAATCAGACTCTAGTGCATTTGACCAGGTCTTCAATTATACTTTAGTATTCAGTCTCAACATGTTATGTATTTGGTCATTGCATTCAGTTCAGTTCTATTTAGCATATTCCAGTATTTTCCATTATGTTCAGATTATATCATTGTTCAGTATGCTTGTTCAGTTATATCTTTTGTTCAGCTTTTATCCTATCATTCATGCTCAGTATCTTCCAAGTACTGACGCATACTCTGCGCTATATCTTTCCATAATGTAGGTTCAGGTCCTCAACATTTAGATCACGTGTTGATCGGTTCCCAATCAGTATTCAGCAGCATTAATAGTAAGTCCTCATACTTCGAGGACAATAGACATGTTTTCTATTTCACTCTTTCATTTTAGTTTCGGTTTTGCTAGAGTTAGATGGGGACATGTCCTAGCATGTCTAGTCAGTTAGAGGCATTTTCGAACATAGTTTTAGATTCAGCTTTAGCTTTGAGTGATTTTTTAGTACTGTTAAAACTCTTATTCAGTATTTATATATTCAGATCAGAAATAGGTATTCCCCATCTTTCAGTTTAGCTCATGTGTTAAGCTTTCACATAGTATCTTTTATTCAGTTGTTTTAGTATGCTTATGATATGCCAGCTTAGGGTTAGCTTGGGGTCACTCGTGATCCTAGGTTCCGTATGTACGTCAAGTGGGTAGCCTCGGGGCATGACATTTTCAATAAGTATTTGTCAGACATAAGAAAAGGAAAATGATTTTCTACTTATTTAAATTAACCCACATATTAATAGAATTTACATTTAGGTCCAAAAATTAAAATACCTTATTAGATCATAAAATGAGCTCCTTTAGTGACAACATAACTATGTATAAATATATTCATATATGAATTCATAAAATAGAAATTACCAATAGTTAATTATTTATTTATTATTTAGAAGTGAATGTATTGCCCGGGAGATAGCTTATATATGCAGTGTTAGAGCCATGCCTGATCTCGCTGTTTTAATTCAAATTTTAAGTTTTGAGTTGTATGCATAGTTTGTAGTCGATATTGAACTTTTATTGAAGATAGTCAGCTGAGTTGTGCCTGAACTATGGGTTTGTAATGTTTGCTATCGTGATTAATAAAATCCTGTTAGTTACCAAAAAAAAATGTGTGTGTATGTCACGACACAAAAATCGACATGATGGCACTTGTCTATTTCCACCATGACAAGTCAACCTCAATCCAACGAAATGAAAGAAATGCGGAAATATAAATCAAGAACAAGATAAAGCGGAAAACTTATTCTTTCTATTAAAACCCACAAAATTTAGTTGCCACGTGTACAAATCACTAAATGTATTAATGCGGAAGTAAGAAATAAGTACAAGTGTCAGTCTTTGTTTCTCAAATAGAACAACGTATAAGGAAAAAGGAAAAAAGGGTCCACCGGTATGACAAGCAGCTACCTCTCAAGTCTTTTAACAAACATCAAAAAGTTAGAAGAAGAGCAATCATGCTATACCGGGCATGGAACCGACACAAGTGTAGACGCAAAGAGTGACTACCAACAACGGTACCAAGTAAGCAACCTAATAAACAAGGCATATAGATAGAAATCCAATACCCATTTCATCCCAACCGAACCTCCTCAAACTACAACGTGCACAGAAAGTAGCCCGACCTAACAGTTCTACGATGCACAACTCTCAAGGCACAATAATCATAGTTCAATAGTCATGATTCAACAACCAAACTAATCAAATAAGTCTATCTCAATGTCAAGTAGACTAGTCACATGTAATAAGTATATCAATCATTATTAATAAGTAAGTCACACATAATCAACAATATGCATCAAATCACAATAATCAATCTCTTGTCAGAATTATTTCCCATCGACACAATATTACTAGACGAAACGATTTCCCATTGACTTTATATCACTAGTCAGAATCATTTTCCATCGGCTTTATATCAAATCACTAGCTGAAATCATTTTCCATCTACTTTATATCAAATCACACACTAGTAATGACATCGGCGTCATAAACATCAAATGTCTCATCATGCTTTCCAACAATCAATGCACACAAGCAATATCACACAACATGGAAAAGATGACAATTCATGCAATTTAAGTCCACAATCATGCTATCAAGCATTTCATC